GAAAGGCAGGGAGGTTGATGGATTGAGGAGTGCCACAAGGATTTGAGCAAGTTGGGACACAGAATCCATCTTGTATCTTGTCTACATTCTATCCCTTGCGTAGGGCAACATGGGTAATAATTTTCCTACATGCTGGGATTTAAGGAATACAGAAGAGAAACCACCAGCTGGAGTATAGAGTTCCCACTGGGTAAAAGTTATAAGGCTGGAAAATCAGAAGGGGTGGGCCAAGGTGTGTGGGGTGGGGCCAGAGGTAGGTGCATTCAGCTATTAGCAGGGCCTGTGGCTTTTGTGGTTGGAGATGCCAGCAGACAGAGGAACACATAAGGCTGTGGAGGCCTGGATTCATGTTCTTCTGAGTAACTGGATGTCAGTCACAAGCTGGAATCAAGGAAGAGTGCAGGGCTTCTTCAGCCTAAGCAGCTGACAGGATGAAGTTCACTGCTATAAACACAGTAATACTATAAACCACAGGAAAGACTGTAGATGGAACTGCTTTGTGAGGCCCAGGGAACAAAGACCAAGAATCTTCAGAACCACTCAAATCATCCATAGAAAGTGCTAAAGTACTGAGGGAACATAAAGCATCTTGGGATAGGTAGCAGGGATGGTGTCAAAGTTGATTGGGTTAGACTGGGAAGGTTGAGCCCAATTACTAGTCTCCTGCTAACTGGACTTAAAATGACAAGTATGCAAGGTATAATAGTATAGATTCAGGGGAAGTCTAGGTTGGAAGTACACTTTTGGAAACCATAGATGGAATTTAAAGCCCTGAGCCAGGGGGATGGAGAAACGGCTCAGTTGATCGAGTATCTGCTATGAAAGCACAAGGACCTGAATTTGGATTCAAAGCACCCATGTAAAAATATTGGGTGTGGTGGCATATGTCTATAATCCCTATACTGGGGGTAGTGGTAGAGGAGATAGGCAGATCCCCACAGTCTAGCCAATCAATGAGTTCTATGTTCAGTGAGAGACTATCTCAAAAATAAGGTGGATGGACTGGAGAGATGAATCAGCAGTTAAGAGCACTTACTGTTCTTCCAGAGGATCCAAGTTTGATTCTCAGCACCCACATGGCGACTCACAGCCCTTTAGCTCCAGTTCCAGGAAATCTATCCTCCTCTTTTAGCTTCTGTGGGCATCAGGCAAACATGTGATATATACGCAAGCAAAACACTCATACACATTTTTTAAAAGGCGGAGAATGATGAGAAAGACACCAGGTATTGACTTCTAGACTCCACACACAGGCATGTGTACCCACATGCACCCATGTACACAGACAAATAACAAATGTGCATGAATGCACAGGTGCACTAAAGATTAAGCCCTGACCAGGCATGGTGGCACATATCTTTAGTCCCAGCTCTTAGGCAGCAGAGACACATAGATTGCTGTGATTCAAGGCCAGCCTGGTCTACAAAGTGAGTTCCAGGACAGTCAGAGATAGTGAAATACTGTCTCAAAAAAAAAAAAAGGAACTCACCAAGAGACATCATGCCAAGCACAGCACTCTGAGCCCCTCACCGGTCAAAGAAGAAAGAGGGAACTAGCAGAGGACTGGGAGGGATCCCAGAAGTGGCTGGTGGAGTCAGCCCTGTATCCTGAGCCAGACCCCTTCATGGATCAAGGAGGATGGAATGGCCAGATTGGCCAAGAAGATGTTGGAGTTTGGGTCAGGAGGGAACAGGAATCGATAACAGCAAGTATGGCCCAATCTCTAAAAAAGCTACACATGAGCTATGATAGAAGATTGCTCTGTAGTTGGGGATGGTATTAGGAGTCAAGGAAAAGCAGGTGGTTTGCTGAGAAATTAGAGGTTTGGAGCTTGAGCTGGGCACAGAGACTGAAGCTTGTGGGAGGGAAGAGCCCGTCTGGGAAGCAAGGGCTTTGTGCAGAAGTGGAGCCTGCCATGGGTCTGCTCCAATGGATCCTCATCTCCTAGATCCTTACCTCGCTGGACCGAGATGCCTCTTGTCGGAAGCACAAGCTTCGACAGAAGCTGGAGCAGATCATCAGCCTGGTGTCCAGCAGTAGCTGAGTGGGGAGATGGTGAGGAGGGGGCTTCTCACTTCTGAGCCATTCTCCCAGCCAGGGGAGTGGTTGGCTCTAGCCTGAGTCTCCAGGGCTGAGACCCAGATCTGGTGTTGTTGGGGAGGTTACCAGGCCAAGATGTCCCCATCACACCTGGGCCCCCTTCATTAGTGCCTTGCTTTGGGCCCTGCAGGGGGAGGGGGTGACAGGACCGAGCTCTCCCCACCAGCAGCAGCAATACCCCCACCCTCTTGCCCTTGTGTTTCCATGTCAAGGGAGCCCTTGCCCTCCTAGCTCTGTATACCCTACCTACCTATTTATTAACCTAACCCCACCTTAATTTTCATATGTAAATATACATGTCCCATGGGATGTTGCCAGCCTCACAGACCTGCCTCCTTGGTTGATTTGGGCCCTACTTCCTGTCCTAGTTCCTTTGTGACATTGCCAGCCTTCACTCAGCCTCTGGCATCTCACCTTTGCCCTGTAAGGCCCCACTTGCCCTAAGAGAGCCTCAGTACCAGCGGCATTTGGGGTTGGATAATAATTTGAAGCTGCCCTCAGATTGGCTGGCCCTGGCCAGGCCAGGGTCCCTCTTCAGATGTTTCAAGAGTCAGACCACATTTTCATGGGGCCTGTTGTCTCTGAGAGAACTAAAACCAGGTTGTGCTTGGGCCTGATGTGGGCCTGGGCCTCTGAAACATTCCTTGTGTCCCTACTGACAAACTTCCTCAGTGTTGTAGGCACTTGCCCCAAACCCCCTCAGCCTCAGCTGCCCCATCATGTCCCCACCCCTAGGGGCCAAGGTGGCAGTGCCTTACTGTTTCTCGTGTCTCCTGCCTCTGAGGAATCTGGCCCTGTCTGATGGTCCCAGAGCCCCCAGTCCACTTTTCTTTTGTTGCATGAGTTTTTCTTTGTTGTTGTAAGTTTTTCCTAATTAAATGTTGGGAAATGGGGTCAGTGCATGTCTTTGTCTTTGGGGTAAGTGGGCAGACCTGTGGGGCTATGGATGAACTGGACTGTGGGAGGAAATATAACTCTTTATAGGATTTCTGATGATTTGAGGAAGATCATGGTCATGTGTAGTTCATTAGGCAATCCTGGTGGCTCTAGCTTCAAGACTGAATAAATCTGCTTCCTTCCCCTTGTATATACTGTTTCTACTCAGATATGCCCATCTTCCTGCTTCTGCCCTGCCCCTTTTAGTACATTATTAGTTGGGGACAAAGAGATGCTGTTAAGAAATAAGAGACTCAGCCGGGCGGTGGTGGCGCACGCCTTTAATCCCAGCACTCGGGAGGCAGAGGCAGGCGGATCTCTGTGAGTTCGAGGCCAGCCTGGGCTACCAAGTGAGTTCCAGGAAAGGCGCAAAGCTACACAAGAGAAACCCTGTCTTGAAAAAACCAAAAAAAAAAAAAAAAAAAAAAAGAAAAAGAAATAAGAGACACATCCCCACTGTGTTAAAAAAAAAATTCTTCAGTGGGGGTTGGAGAGATGACTGGGTGGTTTAAGAGCACCAGTTGCTTTTCCACAGGATCCAGGTTCAATTCCCAGCACCCACATAGTGATTTACAACTGTTTATAACTCCAGTTCTGGGAGATTGGATGCCCTCTTCTGGCCTCCTCAGGCACCAGGCATTTACAAAAGAAAAACTTTAAGTGGCTTCACTTGTACCCCAAATTCTGAACATGTGGCAACTCATTGGACTATAAATGGGGAGGACCTACCTGTGTGTGAATTACTCCCAACACGTGTTAGATGTTGCATATGGGGTGAAGATTACTGTACAATTAAAAAAAGGATAGCTTAGGACTGAGGAGATGGCTTAGTGGTAAAAAGCTTTGTCACACAAACTTGAGGACTAGAGTTTAGATAGTAATCACAGTACTCAGAAAGCAGTGATGAGGGTATCCTGGGACAAGCTGGATAGCCATACTAGTCATATAGACAAGCTCTGGATTCAACTGAAAAACCCTACCTTATTGAATAAGGTGGAAAGTGATAGAAAAAGACTCTCAACATTAATCTCAGGCCTCCACACATACAACAGGTATACTCAGACACTGGATCATGCATATACATACACATGAGAAAAATAACAAGGTAGATTGCTCCTAGTACTTGGGAGGTGGCAGCAGGAATTCAAGGACAGCCTCAGCTACACACTAAACTCCAGGCCAGCATGACCACATGAACTATCAAAAAACAAGATGAAAACAACACCTGGCTTGTGGGATTCTTTTTTTGTTTTGGCCTAGAGGTTAAAGAATGCTGTTTTGCAGCTCATAACACCTGTACAAGATGAGCTAGTCAACAGTCTAGTGTTGAGGGGGAGAGGTTCATGTGCTCTCACCTATAACTGGGGAGCTATTAACAATAGATGGCTTCTGGGGGAGTATTGGTGAAATTATTATGGCCACTCGACATAGTTAAAAGGGAGGTTTATTTTGTGGGGTAATTTACAAGTGAATGGATGGTTTACAGAGTCTGGGAAAGGTGTGGCACAATCCGGCGGTGTTCTCTGGAGAACTCGGCTGGGTCTACCTCCAGCATCCAGGGTCCAGGAACCAAGAGAGCCTGCGCATCTGGATCTCAGGTCTTCAAGGTCCTCCCTTGGCCCTGCCTTGTAGGTGTGACAGTTACCGAAGCCTCAATGGGGGTTGGAACTTCCAGACCAAAGCTGGAATGGCTACCTACTACAGGGGAGGGAAAAAATCAGTTTTCTTTAAGGGTATGGCCTCTTATAGGTCAACCATGCTCCAGTGGATGGCCCCACACCCAGGAGTACATGGACAGCACAAATTAGACTTGATGGGTTATTTTTAAAAAGAGTTGGGGAGGGGGTTAAGGAACAGTGGTGGATCTGGGAGGATCTTGTACTAACAAATACCTGAATTCCAGAGCCTCTCCTCTGACACAAGGAAAAAGTCAAAGAAAATCTAGAGGCTGAAATAAACTCAAATACAGATTAGAAGCACAGCTTTATTTTCTTCAGCAACAAACATTTAAACACCAGACTAAACAAGTTGCCCCCTAAGTGCCTGAGGACCAAATCAGGCAAAAAAATATTAGGCCCCACATTTAAGTAGCAGCTACTATTTCTGGAATCTTTTTCCTAGGGAAAATTATACTGTTTAGGAGGAAATGGACATAAGGTCAGACCTGAGTCCCTTTTCCCAGCCAGGCTTAACGAGAAACTGGGGGCCCAAAGCGTTGTATGGTGTTCACCACTAGGCAAAGCTGGTCAAGAAAGTTCATGATGGAAATTCGGAGGAGGCGAGAGTCTTCCGAGATCCAGTGTCTAAGAGTAAGGAAAAAGAATATTAAGTTCAAAATGGTAATTCCTATCCTTTTCTTTTGGAAAGAGAGAGAACCTCACGATGTAGCCCTGACTGGCCTTGAATTCACAGAAATCTGTTTGCCTCCTACCCTTTCCTGATTTCCCTCCCCTCGGGCACCTACTGTACCATATATCCTGTAGGTAAATACTGGTCCAGTGCACCAAGCCTCCCCTAAGAAGTTACCCTTGTGTGCCATCTCTAAGGAAGTGCAGTCTTGGGTGGAAAATAGCCCAGTCACCTACCCAGCATGCCAGACTCTTTCAGCACTTACACCTCCAGCATGCAGCCGCTCACTTTTAGCTCCTTCCTCAAAAGTCCTTGGTGCGGTTCGGCATCAGGAGCTAGGGACCCACAGGCGATATCTGCCTCCAAAGAGGTCGGGAAAGACACTGTAAGGGCGCTGGTGGAGACTCAGGAAAGGCACTATTTTGAATCAACTTTGCCTCCTTGGACCTCTAAAACCATCTCATCTGGTCTAAGCTCCCCAAACTACATCTTCCACACTGGGCAATTCCTGCTCATTTCCCTCCACTCTCCAGTCCCCCTCCCCTGTTCTCTTCTAATGCCCAGACCGTCCGTGGTTAATATACCTTAATCAGCGGGTCCCCTTGCCCCCCTCCACTTGATGGCTCTCCCCGCCTCCAGACTACCCCTTTTCCCGCCTCAAGCATCCCGAAGGTGGCCCAGTTGTTACTGTCCAGTAGGATACAATCTATGATGTCGGATTTCCGGCCTTTGGGTTAAAGGCATGGCGCTTTTGCTCGAATCGGAGACTTCCGGTGCTCGTGCAACAGGATGAGCTCCACTGGAAATAAGTGCCACTGTGCCTGCATCACCGGGACAGCAGCGTCTGGTCGGGGAATCGGCGCCTTCGGCAGTGTGACCTAAACCCGTGTGTGCTGCCTGCATGTCTACACCTTCCAACCCACCCTAGTGTCACCAGCCCGCCCCCTCCGCCACGGGTACCGCCCTGAGCCCGCCTTATCCTCCGGAAGCTCCGCCCTCGCTCAGGCTGCCAATCCCACACACGCACCTGCGCCGCGAATGGACGGGCGACAAAGTTGCTAAATTGGTTCAGTCCCCACCCAGAGGCTTCTAACCCAATCTCGGTAAGGCTGATCAGGTCTGCTTCTGCCTCTAAAGTGCTGCACCACGCCCGCCCAGCTTTCCCTTCAGTTTCTAAAAGGGGCCTAAGTAGCCGGGCAGTGGTGGCCAACACCTTTAGTCCCAGCACTATGGGAGGCAGAGACAAGCGGATCTCTGTGAGTTTGAGGCCAGCCTGGGCTACAGAGGGAGTTCCAGGACAGCCAGGGCTTTCATAGAGGAACCCTGTCTCGAAAAACCAAAACCAAAACAAAACAAAAAACAAAAAAGGGGATATAAGGTGATATTTACCCCTAAATAAAACAAAGAAAAAAAAAGCCACAAAATACATAAAATAAAAAACCTGGCCTGGTGTGGTGTTGCCTGCCTGAAATCCCAGCATTTAGGATTGCAGTTCTCAACTAGGAAGTAGAATGACCCATTCACGGGGGTTGCACATCAGATATCCGATATTTACATTACAATTAATAATAGTAGCAAAATTACAGTTATGAAGTACCAAGAAGAATAATTTTATGGTTGGGGTCATGTGCATTGATTGGTATTTTGTTGGCATGTGTGTTTGTGTGAGGGTGTCAGATCCCCTGGAAGTGGAGTTACAGACAGTTATAGGCTGCCATGTAGTTACTAAGAATTGAACCTGGGTCCTTTGTATGAACAGTCAATACTCTTAACCACTGAACCATCTCTCCAGCCCCAGAAGTAGTTCTTTGCTTAAGTTGAAGGTCAGCATGGTCTACATAACCACTTCCAGTCCAGACAGACAGACAAATTTACATCATCTCAAAACCACTACCAACAAAAAAACAAACAAAACCAACAAATACATTAAATGAAATAAGACTTGGAGCTATATCAGCTGTCCTCAAACTCACAGATCCACCTGCTTCTGCCTGCCAAGTGCTGGGATTAAAAGCATGAGCCACCACCATCTGGTTTAAGATTTATGTATTTTTAGTTTATGTGTATGAATGTTCTACCTGGTTGTATATAAGTGCATCCACAGTGTGCAGTGCCTGGTGTCCATGTGGGTACTAGAACTGGAGTTATGGGTGGTTGTAAACTTTCATGTGGGTGCTGGGAACTTAACCCAGGTCCTTTGCAAAAGCAGCAAGTTCTCTTAATCTCTGAACTATCTCTCCAGCCTCTCTCCCTGAATCATACCTTCAAAAGCTCTGAGATTCATTTCCTTCTTGTCTACAGCTTAGTCCCCACAAAATAGTTTCTAATTTATTTATTTCTTTTCTTTTCTTTTTTCTTGGATTTTCAAGACAAGGTCTCTCTGTGTAGCCCTGGCTGTCCTGGGGCTCACTATGTAGACCAGGCTGGCCTCGAACTCAGAGATTTGTCTGCTTCTGCCCCCCAAATGCTGGGATTAAAGGTATATGCCACTACCTCCTGTCTAATTTTTTTTAAAAAAAATCTTTTACTTATTCTTTGAAAATTTTATACATGTATACAATGTACTTTGATCTTATCCACCCCAACTCACCCTTCTCAGTCTGTGTAATTTCTAATATAGATCACATCAATGCTTACAGCCCTGTATATTGGAACTAGAGAGATGACTCAGCAGTTAAGAGCATTGGCTGCTCTTACCCAGGTCCTGGGTTCCATTCTCAGCACTCACCTAGCAACTCACAAGGGTCTGTTACTCCAGTTCTAGGGGATCTGATGCCCTCTTCTAGCCTCCATGGGCACTAGGAATACATATGATGCACAGACACATATACAGGCCAAACACTCATATGCATAAAAGTAAAAGAAACATTTTTAAAAGTTTAAAAATAAAAAAGGTGATGGTGGGTTGGATAGAACTCATTTGGTATAGCACTTATGAGGCATTTCAAGGTTCTGGTTTCATTCTCATTATCACAATTAATCTATCTACCAACCTATAATCCCTAAAATGTTTTCTAGTTGCACTTGGAATAAAATCCAAAGCCTTTGTAGTAGTTTATAGGAGCCCTGTATGATGTGGATCCAGTTCCCTCTCTATGGCCCTGTGCCACCTGTCTGGGCCCATATTCTGTGCAGTTACTGGGGCCTTCTCTCTGCTCCTGAGACTAACCTCAGTACTTTGTACTTGCCTCTTCCATGAGTAAGAATATTCCTGAACTTTCTTATGGCTTGTATATCAACATTAGATTTCACTTTCAATGTTACCTTCTAAAAACTAAACAGAGAAATGCTGGTGCTAACAGATGTTATAAAACAAATGGACCTAACAGATATATACAAAACATTTCATCCAAACACAAAATAATACATCTTCCTCTCTATATCTCATGGAACTTTGTCCAAAATTGACCACATACTCAGACACAAAGCAAGTCTCAATAGACACAAGAAGATTGAAATAACTCCCAGCATCCTATCAGACCATGGATTAAAGTCAGATATCAACAACAACAGAAACAATAGAAAGCTTACAAACTCATGGAAATCAAATAACTCTCTACTGAATGAAAAATGGGTCAACACAGATATTAAGAAATAAATTAAAGACTTTCTAAAATGCCAGTGGCTGTGTCAGAGGGGCAGCAGGTGGCAATTAAAGTTCAAGGTGTCAGCCCACCAGGAGGAAACTCTCTGATGAGTGAATCTTGGTTAGGCAAGGCCCCTAGACCACAGACCCCAGAAAGTTTTTTGCTTCTGCTGTGTCTTTACATATTTGCTGCTGCCATCTTTCTCTGGTATCTGGCATGGTGTGAATGGGTATGGGAGATCCCCACTGCCTGTAATGAGTGTGTTTATCTCATGGAAATATCCCATTCTACTGGGAATTTTTACCTGTGGATTATTATGAAGATGATCTCTTCCTAACATGTACTGTCTAATTGATAATAATATATTAGTTAATAAAAATTATAAACAAGGAAGTATCACACAGCTAGAATGCAAGAGTTCCTATTGAGAAGTTGTATAGACTGTGGCTTAGGTTAATGATTAAGAAAAACAATTGAGTCCTGGTAGCCCAACTAGCTTAAATTCTTTTAATCTTAATGTTGGGAGATGTGTTCACAGGTTTTGGTGTCCATCATTAGCTGAAACAAAGCTTTAAAATAACTTCAGGTTAGATCAGATGTTCTAGCATTGACCTTGAAGCACCGCCCCTGTGAGGTAGCAGGTAACTGTTACACCTGCCTATGACCTTGAAGTACATGCCCCTGGGCATAGCCACTCAGGACCCTTAAGAAAGGTACTTGGCACTCTCTTCGATTCCTCATGGTTTTGAATGCTGGGACTGACCAGGCAGATCTTGGAAGAAGATCAGCATGGGATATAGCTCAGCTTTCCTGTACCCTACAATAAATACCTGTGCAATAGTGAGTTACCTCCTAATAAATTCCCTTGCTCATTAAATAGACTCCATGAATTTCTCGCATTAGCTTTGATAATAGCTTTAAGATGAAAAAAATCCCAGAAAACAATCTAAAGTTCACAAGGATACATAGCTAGGGTCAAAAATACAAAGCAGCTCAATTGTTACTAGCTGATGTACTTTCCTTACTAGGGTTGGTTGATGATCAAAGGTTGTGGTGATATATTGTGTACCCTAATAAACTGCCTGAAGATCAGAGAAGCAAAGCAAGCCACAGCCACCACCTCTTACCTCACCAACTCCTCAGCTTGAAAAAACCTCTAGTTCCTCTTCACATCTTATATACCTTCCTCCACCCAACCATCACTTCCTGGGATTAAAGGTGTGTGTGCTTCCCAAGCAAGGCACGAGATCTCAAGTGCTGGGATTAAAGGTGTGTGCCACCACTGCCTGGCCTCTATGTTTAATCTAGTGGATAGCTCTGTCCTCTGATCTTCAGGCAAAATTTTTTAGGGTACACAATATATCATCACAAAAGGTGATGATTAATTCCTTATACCCATTTCTGCCCTCAATCTCCAGATATAAGAAACTATTGATGAGGGGGTATGCACCCTAAAGATTTAAAGTAGTGCTGATTGATTATTTCTTCATGTATAAAAGTTTAGATTTGTGATTCCTTTAAGATTCCTTATAAGATTACCTTTCAAGATAAGTAATAAAGTAATTGGCCCTTTCTTTGTAAGTGCAAATGCAGCCTGCCAGTAAAAGACCTGACTGAGAAAAATATCTTGCTTGTCTACACAGTTAATCTATAGCAAGTTGCTTAGGTATAAATATACGTGGGTTCTTGAGATAATTTGTTTTTCACCTGTAATACATAAAATGTTTAATCATGTAAGGGATATGGAAAACATGCTGTTTTTTTTAACTGCTTTGTATTCATTGTAATCATTCATTTGAAAAACAGAATCTAACCACATTGTAATTCCTATATTGCCTGAAAAATTTTGTTGGGGCATACAAGCTGTAGGAAAAAAAAAGTATATAGTAGAAAAAAAACCACAGAAAAATAGAGAATAAAGAATGAAACCATCAAGAGAGACTATGAGTGTCTTTCCCCCTAACCCTCTCAGCTAGAAAAGTCTTAGTATGCCCCAACTCTGTGGATTCCCTTTGAGCCCTGTGCTGCTTGGGGATGGTCTCCCAGGTAGTGATACTAAAATTCAATGATAATGAATATACAGCATACCCAAACTTATGAAACACAATGAAAGTGGTACTAAGAGGTTCATAGCACTAAGTGCCTACATTAAAAAAAAAAACTGCAGAAATCTCATGCTAGCAACCCAGCAGCACATCTGAAAGCTCTAGAACAAAAAGAAGAAATAATACCCAAAGGGAGTAGAAGGCAAGAAATAATCAAACTCAGGGCTGAAATCAATAAAACAAAACAAAACAAAAGAATAAAAGAAACAAATAAAAAAGAATCAATGAAACAAAGAGTTGGTTCTTTTAGAAAATGAATAAG